TGGGGGGCACGGGCGTGAGTCAAGGAGGTGCGGGCAATCTCCATGACCAGGCCTATGCGACGCTCAGCAACCCCATTCTGCTGTGGGGACTCCGGAAGCGTCCAGGACTGACGAATGCCCTGTTCGCGACAGAATCCAGCGAGAATGCCGGAGCGAAACTCGCCCCCGCGGTCGGAGTGGAGACAGCTGACACGACGACCACGAGTGTCCTGGGTGGTAAGCAACCACCTGATCAGCGTAGAAGTCACCTCAGACTTCCTCGCCAGGGGGAACACTGTGGTGTAGCGGGAGTAGTCGTCAACGACCACCAAAAAGAAACGCTCACGCTCAGGGCCAGGGCGAGGAGAGGGGCCCCAGACGTCCAAGTGCAGCGTCTCAAAAGGCTCGGTGGCCGGACGAAGGGAGGAGGAGTGAGGGGTGGCGCGCAGCCTACCCTCGACGCAAGGACCGCACGGTGGCGCAAGGGACGGCGGCAGCGACGGCAAGACACGCGGGAGACCTAAGACAAGACGCTGACGAGACATAGCGCGAAGACGAGGAGGAGAAGGGTGCCCCAGCCGGTGGTGCCACAAAACGGTGGGGTGGGCAAGCGACCGACAGGAGCACGACGCAGCGACCGGACTAGACGGAGGAACCTGACAAGACACAGCTACCTGGGGGGACGGAGCAACCTGGTGAGACGCGAGGACTCGTACAGGGGGCAAAACAGGGGCCGGGGGCAGGAGGGGCGGCTGTGGCTGCGGCTGCTGCTGCTGCTGCGGCTGCTGCTGCTGCTGCAGTCGCTGCTGAGCGCGCGGGCCAGTGTGAAGAGTGTAGAGACCGGAGCCCGGCTCAGCAGCAAAAGTGGCGAGGGGCTGGTAAGAGTCCCCGTCAACACACACCGCAGTCTCTCCAGAAGGCTCAAACCACACACCCACGTGCTGACTCACGAGGGGTCGCACGCCCACCAAGTTCCGGGAGAACGAGGGGACGTGAAACCCAGTGAGAGACCCAGAAGGAGCAGCCGGACACGGCAAGGTGGTAGTGTGACGCGCGGTGACTGGTCCCGAAGTGGGATCAGCCAGCGCCACAGAAACAGGCGCAGGAAGAGGCGTAAGTGTCGTGCTGTCACGAAAGAAGCAGTGAGAGGCTCCAGAGTCCAGCGTGAACGACAGCGAACCGTCCTCTGAGGTAGCCGCTGGACTAGAGTCTACACATGAACCTACACTAGCAACAGGCAACTGAGCAAGGCTAGCACCTAAGCTAACAACACCAGAGTAAACAGAGTCAGAAACACTAGAGTCAACAACAGCATACATAGCATGGGGATTACCAATCAGATCAACTAACTGCTCAGCAGACATGCCCCACAGAGCGGAGCCGTAACGCTGAACAAGAGGCAGCCAGTCAGGGGCAGGAGCACCAACCCCGTAGACCAAACGAACCGTGTCAGTGAGCTGAGCAAAGCACTGACCAGGGGGGTGAAACCGGCCACAAGGGTGGCCACGACGAGTGCCTGTCAGAACCTGGTAGGTGCAGGGAGTGTAAACAGCACCGCGCTGGGTCTGACGCAGCCCCGACCCTGGAGCCAGCTGCTGCCGCTGCTGCTGCTGAGGCTGCTGGGAGGAGAGGGGCTGCTGGTGCTGCAGAAGCTGCTGCTGACGCTGAGCCTGGTACCACGCCGCTGCTCCACCAACCGGGGCAGGAAGTACAGGAGGCGACTGACGAACTCGGGCGTCGCCACCACCAGCAGGCGCAGTGGAGTCACCAGTCACTGCACGAGGCGCCTCTCCAGGCCCTGAACCTCCACCGCCGCCAGGCGCAACGCCACCTCCACTACCTCCGCCTCCACCTCCACTACCACCACCAGAACCGCCTTTCTTGCCACTCCTACCGCGGGACCGCGACGCAGTCGTAACAGCAGCTGCAGTCGCGTCAGTAGCGGCAGTGGCAAGTGAGGCAGTAAAGGTGGGTAACTGCGGGACTGTGCACCCGTGGAAGAGTGGGGGGGGCACAGCACCAGAGGCAGCGGCTACCGAGCGAAGGTTGCTCTCGACGTCCTTGAGTGCAGACTCAAGGACCTCGACGGTGAGCTCACTAGGGTGCTTCAGCAGAAGCGCGTCGCGAACGGAGGCAAGGCGGTCAGGGAGGCTAGTGGCGATGAAATAGATAGTGATCGCCATAGGGGGAGGAAGCAGTGCAAGCTGTGTCTCAGTGCAAGCAGCGCGGTAACTAGCGTCGAGCGAGCGGAGGTGAGCGATCAAGTCAGCAGAGCGCTCAAAAGACGCTAGGTCAGGAAACAGGAATGGGAGGAACAGGCGGCCAAGAGAGACAGCAGCGGGAGTAGAGTAGCGGGCCTTAATCGCAGTGAGGTACTCAGCAGCGGTGCGAACCTGAGTGAAGTGAACCTCCTCAGACTCAGGGAGGAGGCTGCTGAGCGCGATGCAGGCCGCAGCGTCACGTGACTTCCAAGCCGTCTGGTCAGCTCGCTGAGTGGCAAAGCGGGCTCTAGCGGCGTCATCAGGGGCAGGTCCTAAAGGCGTAGGGTCGGAGGGCGCAGGTAGGGCACCAGTAGCGTGCGCCCAGAGGGTCTCGCCTGCCTGGACCTGACTCTCTAACAGACGGCGAGCACGAAGAAGCCAGACGGAAAAATCAAGAGGTCTACCGTCAGCGTCGAAACGAAGGACGCGAGGGGTCGCCATAGTGTGCAAACGGAATTGGCAGGGAAAGCAGGGTGCAGCGGCAAGGGGGAACGGGCAGGAAGAGCGGGCAAGAGCGAGCGGGTAGGTAAGGTGTGGCGGGCGTCTAGGGTAGGAGCGCGCGGTCTAGGGCAGGAGCGCGCGGGCGGGTAGGGCAAAGGCGCCGGGCCAGGACGCGAGCAGGGGGAACCGCGGGTCGACAGGCAGCGGGGGGAAGCGCGGGTCGACGGGCAGCGGGGGGAAGCGCGGGTCGACGGGCAGCGGGGGGAAGCGCGGGTCGACGGGCAGCGGGGGGAAGCGCGGGTCGACGGGCAGCGGGGGGAAGCGCGGGTCGACGGGCAGCGGGGGGAAGCGCGGGTCGACGGGCAGCGGGGGGAAGCGCGGGTCGACGGGCAGCGGGGGGAAGCGCGGGTCGACGGGCAGCGGGGGGAAGCTCGGTTCGACGGGCAGCGGGGGGGGGGAAGCGCGGTTCGACGGCAGCGGGGGGGGAAAGCGCAGCGCGACCTGCAGCGGTACGCTAGATCGGGCTACGCTAGATCGGGAGGAAGAACGAGCGGTAACGAACGAACGGGACTAGATCGGGCCGGCACTAGGCTCGGGCAAGACGGGCGAAACGAGAGCTAGGATCAGGCTCGGGTGGTACGATCGGAGAACGGAGAAACGGGATCCCACAGGATCCTAACCTAACTGATATCATGTCAAAATGAGAAATGGATGATGCATTGATGTTGGTTGGGGTACATATAGCTAACCCTAAGTTTTGTACCCCCTAAGACAAACCTCACTATAGGCTACAACATTTGACAAGAACACTTTAGTCATGTTACTGTTGGAGTAGTACAAATTTGATATTCGGAATGAAACAGTGTACGAGATATATTACCCTGCATAAATCAGTGTACCTGAACTTTTAGGCTGCTACAATCAGTGTACGCGAAAAATTACCCTACCGGTCAGGGTACGGAGGGGATGCCACCCTGATTTGAAAGAGTGAGCTAAAACCAATTTTGGGCCCTGAGCACGAGATCTATGGTACAGTTTGGTATTAGAAAATATTAAATATTTATAATGTAATTCTATAAGCGCTTGCGATTATAAATTTGACTCAATTATAAGCCCACCCTTAAAAAAAAACCTGTTTTATTATAAACCCCCCCATGGGGGCTTATCCGAGGAGTGACGGTATTCTTCTCGAATGCCTTTTAGGGCACTAATTGGAGTACCGTGATATTCCATGACAAAAAAGAGTTCGATAGCTACCAATACCATACCATAAAAAATACATACCGTATCTGCCCGGATATAAGACAGTGTTGAATAGTAGACAGGGGTTGTCTACTATACGGGCAGCTCTGAATTTCGTTTTCCCTGAAAAATCAGTAAATGCTTCCATTATGGGCTGAAATTTCAGTATATGTGATTTTGCCACACTGACGATTATGTGTGTTTCTGAACAAGTAACACTGACGAATCAGCATACTTCAGTGCGTCACCCTGAAACAGACTTGACCGCGCGGGGGGGGGGGGGGGGGGGGGGTTAAGTTACGCATGTACAGGCTATACCTTTCCGTGTCACGAAACCCACACACTTCGCATGTGCTGCGCAGATACTGTATCAGGTGCGCTCCGAAGTGTGTGGACCTGATATCTTTCGCCTCGCTGGAACCTACGGTATGACAGTAACAACAGCACACACCTTGCACTAGTGTTTCAGCTGTTAGTTTTTTTTTTACACTGTTGGTTCAGTTTACTTATGATTTTCACACTGGCAAAATCAGTAAAAAAAAAAATCCGTGAACGCTGATTCTGACACCTCGTTGGCCGGGGCACGCTGATCCATCAGCATACTCTCAAACCAATCTGAGGGCCTGTATACGGGTGTCTCTTATAAACAGGCTAGCCTCATTATAAGACACCTACTTGTGTGTACGAGATATTACATATGTGTCTTATAATCGAAACTGCAATATACTATAGTGAAAATAGAAATATCGCGTACATTTTTACCCTTGCGACAGGCGAATTTTGCCACGTGCTGACTCACGTACTACCGAATTTGCCTCTGAAAGTGTTCTCCATGACGTGGCATCCCGAACAATGGTTGCCGAAGTGGCACCCTCGCAACATCCACACTCATAATGAGAAACTCTTTTCAAGATGTGTGAAAAAAAATTTAAGTACTTTAAAAAAGTTTCCATTTATAAGACTTATAAGACACCCAAAACCTCCCCAAATACAAGATAACCCAAGCATTTTTTCTAGTGTACGAGATAAGACATATATGTCTTATATCCGGGCGATGACGGTAGAAAAACTACTAGATTATGGGGTTTTTATACAGGAGAAAATGGAAAACTGTGAAGGACCACACATAACATGCATGGCCATGCACGTGGATGCATGTGCATCAGATGCACTTGTAACCTTTGCAGTTGCGGACGAAGGAAATGCAGATGCGGCCCGGGCAGGACTTGAGTGAGCAGGCACGGCGCTTCTTCCGGCACTTCGGAGGGGCGGGAGCTGATAGCAGGGGAGCAGGAGGGAGGGAGGACAACGTGTTTTTGATTGTGTGTGATATGTGTGGAGCTGTGTATGTGTGTGTGTGCGCGCGCGCGCGTGCATGCGTGTGCATGCGCGCGCACGCGCGTGTGTGTGCGTCAGTCTGTGTATGTGAGTATGTGTGTACAGGTGTTTAATTACACACTTGACTGTGAACAACAGTTCCCTGACTCTTGTTCTCAAGGACAGAATCTCATACGGTACACAGAGAGCTCTCAAACATGATGTTTGCTACCCAATCTCATCTCCCCACCTTCCAACTCTCCCTCCTCATTTCCGTTCCAACGTCCCTCCTGATGCTTTCATCCTGGACATGGACTTTTACACCACATGATTGATTTGATACAGTAACAAGGTGATACCTGAGCGCAATACGAAATACCGACCCAAGTTCCAGCTAGAATTCTAGAGGAAACCCCTGACATGCTGCGGTTTAGATCCTGCAAGCCTTTGCAGAATGATACCTGAATGCAACTTCGTAACTCGAAACCTCCCTTTGCCCTCCTCCTTACCCCGTCGAGAGCACGTGTTGCAGAAATCGGTGCAGGCATGGCAGAAGGCTGTGCCAGAGTGCTGCACCACCTCGCACCACCCAGAACCGCATGGAGTCGCACTGTAGTTGACATAACTGGCAGGCAGAAAATACCGACCAAGAGGAGGAATCGGGGAAGAGTTGGGAGAGAAGCCGGTGAGGCAGCGTGAGGGACGACAGTAGGGTCAGGTCTTTTGTGATGGGAATGCGAAACGGTAAGGAGGGATTGAGCAGCACATCTCAGGAGGAGAGCAGTATTAGAGGAGGTGAGGGAAGAATGGCGAGGTAGGAAGATGAACTTTATACATCAGGGCCTGCTTAGGACATGAGGCAACAGACTTGGAGAGGAAGGGGAATGAGAGAGGGACAGCTCACATTGTTTGCAGATTGAGCATGGCGCCCATGGAGGCCGGGATGGTGCCTGTGAGTGTTGGTATGCGAAGGTCACTGCGTGAGGGTTGATGCCCATGCATAGTGATGTGCATGGGAGTGTGTTTGATGAGCACAGTTGCATGTGTGAGGGTGCATGTTGGCATGGCGAGGTTTCATTCACGCAGCAAACCGGGGCAATCAGGAAGGATGACGGCATTCAGGGGGGAGAAGGACGTGCGATCAGCAGGAGAAGAGGGCGAAGGAACTAGGGTGAGAGGCGTGAAGGCAACGAGCTTCAACAGGAGCGAAGAGACAACTGGAGAAAAACGAGAGATGCTTTTAAAGGTGTGAGATTCACAAGCGCCTTGCCCATGCTACAGATGCAGGCCGTTCCCAGGATAAAGAGAAGGTACACTTGGGTTTTGCCAAGTCAAGTTTACAGGTGAGAGAGGTGTGCATTTTGGTGAAGGCGGTGGGGATTGTGCCCGATAGCAATGTGTAGCCTAGATCACTGGAGGAAGCGATAAATGGGGATGAGGGCGAGGGTGAGGGTGAGAGAGAGATAAGGGCACTTGAAAGCCCTTGAAGTTGGTCCGTCACCGGCATCACACAGCAAGGGGCATGGAGATCAACTGTGGGAAATGGGACTTGTCCATGCAGGTACATTATGTCTCCTCATACAGGACTTCGTCATGTATCTCACTTGGCACGAGTTTCTGCATAATTCACGACCACATTCTTGCCTTGGGTGAGACACACGGGTGCATGCGCAAGTGAAGCGAATAGGTTTGTGAGAGAAGGAGGCGTACAGGTAGGTGAGGGAAGCGAGAGAGGTGATGGAGGCAGGGATGCTGCCAGTGAAGTTATTGTTGCTCAGCTTCCTGTGGAGATGGATGGTGGGGAGGGGAAGGGGAGGATGTGCAGTATATACCACGATGCGCATAGTCAAACACTAGCTGTGCGCGTGGGTGCATGTGATAACCATGCAGTGGATCCAGACGCCTTAATGTTTGACATAAACTGCAAGTCCGCTGATGAGGACCAATACATGCTCACATGATCTCACGCACGCAGCTCTAACAAGCCGCAAAACAAGTAACAGGGGTGCTTGCATGCACTCATGTGCTCACATGTTCCCAACTTGTGTCATCTGGGTGAGCACAGTCGGAAAATCCTCTGAGAACTTGTTTCTGCTCAGATCCCTGGCATTGCCATCAGAGGCAGGCAGGCGATGGAGGAGATGGAGGGAAGGGGAGGCAGCAGGGTTCTCAGGCATCGTAGCTGAAGTCACTGCTTCGGCCTTTCTCCTGGTCATGTTCATGCAGCTGCCTCTCTCACGTTCACGCCTTGCACACCAAGGTTAATCAAACGCCGTTTTTTTGAAAATTTACCGTAAAAAACGGCCGTAAAAAACGGCCGTAAAAAACGACCGTAAAAAACGGCCGTAACAAACAGTAAAAAACGGTTCCAGAAGGTGGTTTCGTTCGAAGAAAAAATCAGCCATTTATGGGACAAAATTGATGGCGAAAATCACCAGCATGAAGAGGACAAACACCTCCTTGCATGAGTGCGCTTGTGGGCATGATTGAAAATGTATTTGACCTTGTTTTTCCCTTTTTTTCTTGGTGACGACAGTTTCTAACAAAAAAACGCCGTTTTTTTGGAAAATTACCGTAAAAAACGGACCGTTTTTTACGAAAACCGTATTTTTCATCCTTGTTGCACACACACATCTCAGTCACTCCATACCCACATACTCTTATAATCATCCCATACTCATACATTCCTCACTCACACAATCAACCCATGCCCAGACCAACCTTCCCAATATCATCCATGCCACAAGCGCACTCTGGCAGACGAAAAGGCTTGTTTGAGGAGCCTCAGCGCATTTTGGTAAACTCAAAATTTACACCAGTGCTTAAGAAGCGTTATGAGGCGCCTCCAATCCAACATACATGGTGTGTGTGACGCATTCCTGCATGGATGAAATCATTGCTGTTTGAGGCACATACTGAACCGACTACCCAATGCCTAAATTGACGTGTACAGATGCTTTGGGTTCCTTTTCTTTTCTGCGATCTGATGAAAGTACCACAACTCGTTGCACACCACAACGTACCAATTCTGAAAATTCTCAACCACCAACTTCCCCACAAACCACTGCTCCCGTGCGCATCCATGCAAAAATGTGCCTCTCCTTTTGCATGAGTATTCCCTTGGTGGGGAATACTTCAGAGGCTGGTGGGCTTGCGTGCACCACCTACAGCTAGCGCGCTTCATGACTCATGCCTCGCTGCGTGCCGTGGCGGGCGTACCGTAACGATCACATCGAGTACCGGAGCACAACTCACAGAATGTATAGGTGACTCAGTGCACTCAAGCTTCGAGGAGTAGGAGACTCCAACGCATTGTTGTCGAGCTTCCTGGCAAGGAGTCACGGGAAGCAGCGGGCCAGAATAAAGGAAGTGAGAAAGTAGCCAGGGAAAAACGGGAGGGGGAAAGGGAGAGGAGACGAGATGGAGGCGCAGGAGGAGGGAGCAGGGTAGATTGAGTTGGGAGGAAACACGTGACGAAGGAGAGTCGCTCAATCAACGCACGTCATCCTTTCAACCACACGTGATCATCCACAATAGCAGTCTATGGAAGGCAGATGGTGAGGGAGGAGGGGAGAGACAAAGTGTTAGGTGAATGGCCAAGGAGGGCATTACCACACCTGCTCCTATTTCATTGGCTTGGCATGACTGATCCAGGCGCACAAGACCTCTTGTGCTGCCTCACCTCAGTAATGATGGCATCGAGCCTCCTTGGCACCCCCCTGGGCCATCTACATCCTTCCATGGCCATCCGGCTTGCTCATTTCGCCCTTGGCCAAGGGCGTGCGGAATGAGGCGGGGTTCATCGTGCATAGCCACAAGGAGACAAACCACTTCACCAAACAAGGCCGGCGACCTGTCCATGGCACCAAGACTCTGGAGCACTGGATATGCACCGTTACCGCCCCCACACAGCCTCCGGGCTGTTGTTATGCTTTTATACTGCATGCAAGTGCCAGAATAGGCGGCGTAGGGTTGCTGAGTATACCCCCCACCCAAGGGGGGCTGCACATGCAGTGAATCCCCGAGCTGCAGAGCCTTGGCCAGGGCGGCCCATGGGCTTGTGTTGTACCGCCACGGCCTCGTGTGCCTTCGTTCGTGAGCAGGTGCAGGCCCACTGCCTGCCCCCGCATGGTGCCACCACAGTCCACCTCTGTCAGTGTTGGGGGTACAGTTCTACCTCCACCCTAAACCCTGAATCTGCCCTAGAGGTCACTACACCTCGGCTGTATGCCTTGCCACTTACCTGTTTGTTTTGCCAATGATAGATACGAAGGACCACTCAAGAAAGAGGGGGGCGGGGGGGGGGGGGGGCGTGCAGAGGAGAAGGCAAATACAGAGATGAGTACGTGCAAAGAGGTTGGACGAGTAGCGAGATGGAGGGATGCAGGGATGCGAGAGGAGGGTGCATAGCAAGGGGGCACATACAGAGTTACAACTTGGCGGAGGCCAGAGATGGAAGGGGGGATAGCGCCTGAGAGGTTGTTGCTTGAGAGCTCCCTAAAGGGGTGCACCATGCAGGTCAGTGACAAGGGGTGGGAGTAGAATTGAGGAGGCCGACACAAGAGAAGGGGGGCAAGAGTGGTAAGGAGATGGCGGGATAAAAAAGTGGAATAAGAGAGGGAGGGTGAGAGGGCGAGAGAGTGGAAAACTGGGAGGGAGGGTGAGGTGAAAGGGTGAAGAATGATGTGTCTGTTTGAGCAATGAAATTGTGGGTGACAGTGGGAGGTTGACTTGGGGTGGGAAAGGGCGGGGTGTGATTGAGCGAGAGAGGCGAGGGGGAGGGACGTGGGTGGGTGGAGAGTGGTCCACGTACAATTTGATTAGATTGTATAGAGGCGAGAGGTCGCCGAGGTTGGCAATGAGAGAGTTGTGGGAAAGGCAACTGGAGGGCAGCAGGAGCGATGAGAGCGCGACAGGGCGGGTTGAGAGGGGAAGGAGGAAAGCGGTGAGAGCAAGGATGGAAGATCAGTGTGTGGAGCGTGTATGAAGATTCTTGCAGGTACGTACAGGGATGCACTGTAATGCACGTGCATGGGCGCACATGACGATGCACGTGCAAGCGAGATGCAAGGTAGACACTCCTCGAATTGACGGTTTTCATTTATTCTGATGAAACTGCTGGCGACATTGCATGATTATGGCAGCATAGAAATGAAAGACGAGCACCTAGGGCGTGCATCGTACAGCCATGAGAGCTGCTGCAGCTGAGCAATCGTGCTCGGCACTGATCCTTCAAGCTCGTTGTCGTTCAGGCAGCTGGAATCATGTGGTGGGATGACAAGCATACCATGGCATGAAATGGCATGGTAACGGCCTAGTTATTAAGCTTCTCAGAACAGTATGTTAAGAGGAAGTTTCGCTGAGCAGTGGGCATGAAAAGAGCATAACGGCGGAAAGAGGGACTCACATCACTCGCATGTAAGGACTGGCGACATGGTAACCAACCAGTCTCTCACTATCTCTCCTAGTTAACGTGCTGAAGCCACCTTCCACAGGACATCCATGTGGTTACCACTGATCTGCACGCACCTCTTCTGCTACCCCCTCCATTCACACTCATTCGATCATCCCCCTCCCCCCTCCCTCCCTCCCTCCCTCCCTCCCTCCCTCCCTCCCTCCCTCCCTCCCTCCCTCCCTCCCTCCCTCCCTCCCTCCCTCCCTCCCTCCTCCCTCCCTCCCTCCCTCCCTCCCTCCCTCCTCCCTCCCTCCCTCCCTCCCTCCCTCCCTCCCTCCTCCCTCCCTCCCATCTCTGCTCCCTTCCGCCCTCACAGGGTATTGAGATTCATCATGGCGCCTATGAAAGTGGGTATGACACCTGTCAGCTTGTTGTTGGAGAGGAAACTGGCAGGCGATGAAGAACAGGAAGGGTTCAGAAGAGAGGAGGCACGAGGGGGGGTGAGAAGGACGAAAGGAAGGTGCAACTGGGTTCAGAATAGAGGAAAGACGGGGGTTGGATGGAGGGAGGCTGGGAGGTAGGGAGGTGTGCAGGCAGGGAGAGAGGGAGGAGGGGAGGGAGGGAGTGAGGGAGGGAAGGAGGGAGGGAGGGAGGGAGGGAGGGAGGGAGGGAGGGAGGGAGGGAGGGAGGGAGGGAGGGAGAGAGGGACGCTATCCAGCGAGGCCCTTAGCGTCCTTCAGCAACTGAGGAAGGGAGAGGAGCAGACAAAAACACAACACACGCTCTCTCTGCACGGCAATGCCGCCAGTTTTGCGGTGTTGTTGGAGGACAGCAGAGGGTTCGCCCTGATCCTGTTGTCCAGGCCACACGCAACAGCTCCAGGGCAGGGGACCGCTCATGGCCATGCCCATCTCCAGATCCCACCGCCTCCCTGCCCATCACTTCGCATCGGCGGCTGCCTTCCACCTTGGCCTCCCGCAACTGGTCCCAGGTGTGTGCGACTGCAATGAGAGGAGGGCTGCTCGGCTAGCGGCTAGAGGGAAGGAGCATAAGTAGTGCAACAGGTCAGCCTGGGTCAGCTTCCTCGCATTGGCGATTGAAACCTATGGCTGCTGCTCCCCCTGGGGTCATGGAATTCCTGTGCCTATGCGCCGACCCAGCAGCAAAACGACTCCACAACACCGAGCCTACTTGGAGGAAGGCGCTGAAACTCTTCAACTCCTATCTATCGGCAGAGATGGTGGATTACTCTGCAGAGAGCTAAGACCCTGGCGGCCTTCGAGGCCGAGGCGTCCGCGTGTGCCTTCCAGGATGAGCCCCTTCACGTGCTCTAGCCCAAGCTCAAGCTACCCTAGGTCCTTGCTGTGTTTGCCTGTACTTACCATGCTACTGTGCTGTACTATCTGCCCTAATTAATGAAGGGCCATAAGTGGGTACACTCGCAAATGAGTATGTGGGTACACTGACAGGTGTATGAGTTGCGTGAAGGAAGAGAGGCAGGCAGGGATGGGTCCCTCGAGCTCATTGTTGGCCATGGACCTGCGAGCAGCAAGCACCACAGGGTGAACGCATTTAACAGGTTGAGCGCGTAGTGAAGTACATGCTTGAAAAGCAGCTGAGTCTGGAGATATGAAGAGAGTTGAACGGGTTCTGAGTGCGATGTGGGTGAGGAATAAAAGGTTCTCTTGCTTGAGTGAAGAAAAGGTTGAAAGAAATGCGCGAACTGTTAAATCTTGAGAACGACGCAGGCATGGTTGCAGGGGGGAGATCGATGCAGGGTGTGGGAGGCAACTAACAACTAACAGGAGTTTCAGGCTGATGAGGGTACTCAGGGCATCGGGGATGGTGCTTCCTAGCTTGTTGTAGTCCAGGTACCTGTGATGGGCGGATTCAGAGGACCAAGATCATTACTGACTTGATACACTGAACCTCCCAAGATCAAAATAGATGGTGGACATATTTAAAAGGAAAGGTATAAAGCAGTTGGTGTGAGAGTGCGTGTATGCGAGGTGTGGAGGGCAATAGGAACGAGAAAGCATGGGGCAAGCGAGAGCATATGCGTGCATGCATGCTGAATTGCAAGAATATGTGAGCGGAGAGTTGCAACAGAGTGTGCTGTGGGTTGGTGGGCACTGGGAGGGAGAGGGTCATTCCACTGACAGGTGGCGAAGCCACACCAAGTTGCCCATTTCTGCGGGAATGCTTTCCGTGAGCATGTTGTGCGACAGGTAGCTGCACAATTGAGATGCCAGGAGTGGCGAAGAGAAAAGGGCACGTAGTAAGCATATCCAACCTGATTATAATCTACCATGAGGTCCAAGGCAAGGCAAGCGGACACGAAGGCAACCTTGCCTTTGCACGGAGGTGTGCAAGGAACTTGCAAAGGCTATTTTTGACAACGACGCTTCTTCGGGTTGACATCCGAAATCTTGGGTTTCCACACGTGCTGGCGAATGCCCATTGATAGCCGATCTCGGTACTTGAGATTCTTGAGATTTGGTCAAACAGTATGGATTAGTATTCAGCTCTTACCACTCTGCAGATCTCGATTTTCCAGACGTACTGATTTGAGCAGCACGAGCAAAAGCAGTACACGAAGATGTTTATGTAAGCACGAGCATTCGATGTGGTCGGCTCGCGTATACCCGACCCGACTCGACCTTAGGCTGGGTCGGGTCAGCATAGCAGATCCTGCGATCCAGCTGGGTCAGGTCAACCTGACCCGACACTGGTTTATGGTCTAGGATGTAGAGATGTCCCTTTCAAAAACTGGTCCCTCCCTTGGCCTTTATTCAGCCCCCGACAGTGCAAGATTGGTTTTGTACGGACAGAATTGAAGCGCCATCGGTTGCTCAGTACATCCGCCTCAACATTTCTTGCTTCTAAGCGCACATTATTCCGACGGGCTTAAAAATCAGAGCTACCCCGCTGACTCCTTTGTACCCATCTTTCAGGCCTTGCTCTTCAAGCAATGACCTCTCGATTTGGAACAGGTTGAAGCCTGCTAAGCACACCTCTTCTCCTCCTGAGCGTGGCCTTTTAGATTTGAAGACATTGATCACTCAGGTGACAGCTTGTATCAGGCCGGGGTTCTGTCGAGGCCACTCCAGAATCGTCTCAGCACGCGGTTTTTATTATGCATGGGCACTTTACCTGGACGGGCCGGGTAACCCGACGGGTTCTTATATTCGAAGCGACTACCCACGCGGGTCGGGTAGTGCATACTCGCTCGGGTATTTCATTACCCGGTACCCGACCCGGGTGTCCATGTCGGGTATGTGAAACCCGACAAATTTAATCCTGAAGGAGGTTAAGAAATAAACATACAAATTACAGAACAGAATCCATAATGGGTATACCCGACCCGACCTCGGGTATACCCAACCTGACCTCCGGTAGACCCTACCTGACCTCGGGTTCTAAATACCCAAAGTGTACACCCTGACCCTAAATACCCGGGGTCAGGTATACCCGACCCGACCCGACCCCGCCCTCGGGTAGCTTCAAACGGTTCGGGTCGGGTCGGGTCGGGCCAATGCCCATGCCTTATATGGTGGGCGTTTTTATTGCAGGGAGACTCGCACGCAACTTGCAAAAATATCGACCTGGCAAATGCGTTGCATTGATAGGCAAAAAAGGTTGGCACTTTAGCCTTGCATATATACTGGGAAATGCTTGTTGATTGGCAATCTGGGTAATTTGAGTAAATTGTTCACGGTGTGGGAACGAGACAAGGCATGAGAAGAGGCATGGTTGCTTGGTAGTCTGCGGCTTGGCACACGTACAGGTACAGGAGGGCCGTGAGGGCGCCTATCTCAGGAGGAATGGCACCAGACAGCTGGTTGTTGGAGAGAAGGCTGCGAGGGAGGCACGTGGGCCATAGGGAGATGGAGAGCCATGGGGTCATTCACATGACTCATGGGAAGGAATGGCGTTGGCCAGCTAGGCATGACAAAAACTCGAAACTGAACATATTCGAGTAAACTATGTGTAACATTCAAAAAGGCCAAATCAAACATGTTCTGACTCAAACCAAGAAAACGGGAGTTCGTAAACCCATAGAGGCCTCGATTCTGCTGTAATCCAAGCAGCGAATTCGCTGGTGGGTCAAGCCAGTGGAGAGCCGTTTGCTAGAGTCGAGTCTGGTAACCACAATCTTGTTCTTGCAACGCGCGGAAAGCAAGGATCAGCCAGGATTCAAACCCTAGGCTCTGGTACTACCAGTATAACACCTTGCTACCCACTGGGAAAAAACGGGGGTGTTATTTCGCACAGAGGATGCCTTTTAACACAAGCCCACAAGTTCAGGCATGACGGCATTCAGGTTCAGCTAAGAAGGTGAACTGATTATAATGGTTCTGTCGAGGTACAATCCCAACCCGTGCGATCCAAGTCGCACGGGTATCGAATCGGACAGAAACATGTTCAATTCAATACAACTCGACTAAGAAAGTCGAACCAAACCAGATCTTTCGACTAGAACACTACCATGTTCAAAAACTCTGCTGTACCGTAGTGGTGACGGTCTGGGAGTTATATATGGCATGGGAATGAGGCATGGGTTTCTTGGTCGTCTGTCACTGCTTGGTTGCCAATGACTGGCGCACTTACAGGTCTCGGAGGTCTGTGAGGGCACCAATGGCAGGGGGAATGGCACCAGACAGCTGGTTGTTGGAGAGTTGGCTGCGAGGGGGACAAGCGGGTCATGACACAGGGGTATTGACATGACACATCAGGGGGTATGTAGGCATGAGCAAAGAACCCGACTGGGTCGGTCAGACCAACCTTTCCCAAACACAGACCCGGCCAGGTCATGTCAACCCGTGACCCGATTCCTGAAGTCGGGCCAGGTCCATTCGGGTTTTGACCCGATATTGACCCAGCCCGGAATCGGGTCACTTAATTAGAGATTGTGACGGTCCTGGCTGTTAGGAGCTGAGCTGCCGTCTGTCACTCGACATTTGGTTGGGGGGTTGTAGCTATGGGCTGAACAATGGTGCTAGGGTTGTTGGGCTGAGCTCAAGGTCGAGATCTGTGAAAGTGTATGGGGGGGAGCTGGTCTTGTAGATCCAGTGCGGCGACGAGTGGTAAGTGGCAGCAAATAAGTTGAACGTTCCAACAACTTGACGGGGAGGAGGGGTTGGTTGCCTGGCTCTCCTCACTCACTTGCGAAATCATATTGACCGGCGAAATAGCCCATCTGTGGAGATCGTCGGGCGAAATCTCCGATCTGCGCAGAGCGCGAGTCGGGTTTAGAGGCCAGACAGACATGTCCCAGTCCTTAGAGGCCGGGTCGGGTCAGGCTTTTTGGATGAAAACTATGACTCAGGGAGACTCCGAGCCGATCCTATCCAATCTGGTACCTGCCTGGCGGGTTAGTTAGTAGTCGTCTCTCGCAGCTTGGATGCCCATGTCTTGCACACTTACAGCTCTTGGAGGGCCGTGAGGGAGCCTATGGTTGGGGGGATGGCACCAGACAGCTGGTTATAGGAAAGATGGCTGCGATGGGGACATGCAGGCCATGGGAGATGGAGGGACGTGCGGGCAGGCATTGACATGGCACATGCCACACGTGTTGAGATAAGGTATGGTGATGACATGGGAGGCTTGAGAAAAAGGGCGTTTTGGGAAACTGTTTGGGGCGAACCGAACATGTTGGGTTCGACCACACGAGGTGTTCGACATGTGCTCTACCCCGAACATGTTCGCTTTGGTTTTGCTCATGCCTACATGGGAGTGAGACATGGCATGGTAAGGAGATATGACATGGGAGGGAGGCATGGATTGGTTGTTTGGTTGTTTGGTTTCCAACGACCAGGACACTTACATGTACAGGAGGGCCGTGAGGGCACCTATGTCGGAAGGAATTTCACCAGAGAGCTGGTTGTTGGAGAGTTGGCTGCGAGGGGGACATGCGGCCCATGGAAGATGGAGAGCCGTGGGGGAACTGATTTGTGCAAGCAATACAAAGTATGTCCCAAAGGGTTGTTCCTTCCATGCCATGTCCATACTACACCACACTCACCCACAGTGAAGTGTGGTCACAGTTGGCATTACCGCCTGTCCACTCATCCTACGCTCACCTTGCTGGCCCCTATGATCTGCCATACGCCGCCATGTACCGTTCCAGGGTGGCCCACATGTGCAACATGAGGCTCCACTTTCTAGCTTGGCAAGGTTGGGTAGACTACCCTCAACTTTGAGTGCTTTAGCTAGCCTAAAGATTCCATCCATACATCTATGGTTTCACCACTTCACTAATAATCATCCTGGACAAGGACATTGCTCTAGTCTCCAAGGCTTGTACCATCTTCATGACTATGAATATTTTCATATTCCCATCGTGCCCTGAAGTTCAATGAATTTAATCCTACGGTGACAGCTTGGAGCGACACGTGGCCCGGGAGTGAGACAAGGCATGAGAGGGAGGCATGGGTTTCTTGGTCGTCTGTGTCGCTCGGTTGCCAATGACTGGCACACTTACAGGGATTTGAGGGATGTGAGGGCGCCTATGGGGGGTGGAATGGGACCAGACAGGTGGTTGCTGGAGAGATGGCTGAGATGGGGTAATCGGGCCATGGGAGATGGAGGGCCGTCGGACTATTGACATGATATGTGGGGGCTTATCGTGACATGAGTGAAGTGTGTAGAAAATGTAGCTCCAATTGGTAGTCGAGGAAAGAAGGCACTAGGCTTTAATTACAAACAATGGTGGGTTGAGGAAGGATTGGGAATGAATGGGGTTCGAATCCAAGCAAATCTCCAATGGTGAGTTGGCAGATTGGTTAGATTACAGAGAAATCCCAACCCGATAAGGTTGAAATTACAAATCCACACCCAACCTACAAAGAAGCTATCTGCTGTAAAATGTAGTACACATATGTTAACAGCCTATTTTTAACAAAATGAAGTCACGGGACGAATACATGGCATACGAGGGAGGCATGGATTGTGTGGTCGTATATGGTTGATTGGTTTTTAACGACCAGGACACTTACATGTACAGGAGGGCTGTGAGGGCACCTATGTCGGGAGGAATTTCACCAGAGAGCTGGTTGTTGGAGAGTTGGCTGCGAGGGGGACATGTGGGCCATGGGGATATTGACATGATACGTGGGGGGTTATGGTAACGGCATAGAAGCGAGGCATTGCATGTGGGTGCGACATGGCATGTGATCAAGACACGCCATTGGAGCGAGACATGGGAAGGATACATTTGTAGTTTGGTTTGGATGAACCAATAACTTGGAACTAAACTTTTCCCGCACCAGTAAATCTTTCAAGTCATGTTCACACCTCCATGCAATATAGTTATTCCTCATATGGAAACCGCATGAACTGAGATAATGATTGAGACGGTAAAAACATCTAGGTCGTCTATAGCTGCTTGTAGGGATGAGCAAAATAACGAACACCTGTTCGGTTCGCCTCGAACACGTTCGAGGTGAACCGAACAGGTTATTTTTTTTGGCTTAAAGTGTTCGCCGAACAGTGTTCGAGGTTCGCCCGAACACGTTCGTGTTCGGGCCGCTGCTGCAATTTGCCTGTAACGAACACGAACAGTGTTCGAGGTTCGCCCGAACACGCCTTCATAGGCGAACGGCGAACACCTGTTTTTGCTTAAGGTGTTCGCCGAACAGGGGTGTTCGTGCATGGGCGAACGCGAACACGCCCCTTGCTCATCCCTAGCTGCTTGGTTACTGATGACTGGGACTCTCACATGGATAGGAGGGCCGTGAGGGCGCCAATGGTGGGAGGAATGGCACCAGACAGCTGGTTGTTGGAGAGAAGGCTGCGATGGGGACATGCAGGCCATGTGAGATGGAGGGACGTGCGGGCATTGACGTGACGCTTGTGGAGGCATGTTGACAGCATTGGAGTGAGACAAGGCATGGAAAGAAACACGCGAGGGAGGCATGGGAGTGAAATTAGGATGTGAAGCACTGCAAACTGCTGAGTGGGGTGGTCTGTAAAAGCACATGGATGAGCAGGTGAGAGCACGCAGAGGGACAGATACAGCACAACCATACTGTAACCATTCATGCGAGGAGTCATGATACATGGGAGTTGATGCTGTGGTGTGAGAAGAGGTGAGGTGCCGGTGCAGGTGCTTCTGCACAAAGAATGCACGAGTGATGCGAGGCGAGAATTGAACGACTTATGAGAGTTCTCAAAATGGTGACGCAAGGCGCTAATGGAATGGCACACACAGGCCTCTCAGAGCGGTCATGTGCGAGATGAAATCCGGAATGGAATCGCCCAGCGCATTGTACTGCAAGTCACTGCCATGATGACATTGAGAGATAGGGAGTGGGAGAGAGGGAGGGAGGGAGAGACAGAGAAAGGGAGAGAGGGAGAGAGGAAGAGAGAAGGAGAGAGGGAGAGAAAAAGAGACGGAGAGGCGGAGAGACGGAGAGAGGGAGAGAGGAAGAGAGAGGGACAGAGGGAGAGGAGAGACGGAGAGGGAGAGACGAAGAGCCCTTAGCCTGCCCTCCAGAGCTCAATAAACGTTTTTGGTATTTACTTAGCGAGAGTGAGAAAACCTTTGCCTAGCCTCTACCCTCTCAAGCCGGTACTAAAGGCTCTGGTTTTCCGATTCGAGCTCACTAAGATCTCCAGCACGCGTGGTATGCGTTAAGTACTAGCTCGCACTGCAAACATCTCTCAAGAATTTCAGTTACTTTGATTGTAAATAAATGGGCTTTTGTTAATACAACGAAGGATATAAACCCAAGGTTACAAGTGTCGACCTGCTGAAGTGCCTTCGTCTTGACTAACAACAGTAAATTTCCCATACGAAAACTGTGTGAAGTGAGCGAAATTATTTTCAGGTGCCGAAATGCTTGGTCGACTATAGCTGTTTGGTTGCCAATGACTGGGGCACTCACAGGGATTGGAGGGCCGTGAGGGCGCCAATGGCAGGGGGGATGGCACCAGATAGCTGGTTGTTGGAGACATAGCTGCGACGGGGACATGGCGGCATTGACATGACACGTGGGGAGGCATGGTGACGGAATGGGAGTGAGACATGAAAGGGAGGCATGGGAGTGAAAACAGGATGTGAAGCAGTGAACGCTGCTCGGTTGTCCTGTGAAGACACATGGACGACCATGGTGAGAGCTAGTGTTGAGCATTCAAATTGGTTAGGTCGGGTCTTCTGACCCAACCCAACTTTAGGCCTGGTCAGGTTAGGGAAACGGATGCTCCTGTCCCAGCCGTGTCGGGTTGGCCCCATACCCAAAGAAGGTAATTGCTTTCAAGTACTGATGACCTGTCAGGTCAGGTCGAACCGACCCAAAATCGGATCGGCACAAATCATCAGGTTGGGTATGTCCACGTGAATGAAGTGCCCTTTTTTTTTGTGGGTTGAAAAACGTCGACCCTGCTTTTCCAGCTCCACTAGGTAAGGTTCCATACTGCTAACCTTACCTAGCACTTAAAGTATGTGAGTGAAACATTCAGACCGCCCCAATCCAAAGAGAAAGGGGGCTAAATAGAGAGCCAAAGCCAGAGCTACATCTAAATGCGACCTTGAATGAGAGCCCTAGTAGCGAGCTCAGCAAGTGGCAGCAAGGCGCGCACCACGTCGCCAGGGCTGAAGGGTGTTTTTGAGAATTCTCAAAAACACCCTTCAGCACGCCTCATCGCACCAGCGTGCGTGCCACGGTGGTGTTGCACGCACCACTTCGCAGCAGCACGAGCGCCTCAAGGTTGCAGCAGCGTGCACCTAGTAAGTGCACCGCACGCGGAACAGCGCTGCTCCGGCGACTCGCATCCGAAAGTAAAGTGCATTGTGTACTCTCACACGCACTTACAAATTCCCATGGCTATTCATGAAGCTTCTTGAGTCAATCCTTGTTCTTCCAAGGTTTGCAGCTGTGAAACTGGCATTCCCGCTTTATGCACACCTCCATCCACACAATAGACGTGTCCCCCTTATGATAACCTGGTGAACTGGGATGCCTTTGAGGATCTTAAAAATAACTGATTGCTCGTCTATGGCTGTTTGATTGCCCCAATGACTGGCACACTTACAGGTATTGGAGGGATGAGAGGGCGCCTATGGCGGGGGGAATGACACCAGACAGCTGGTTGTCAGAGAGTTGGCTGAGACGGGGACACGCGGGCCATGGGAGATGGAGGGGCGTGGGGGGGTATGGTGACAGGATGGGAGTGAGACATGGAATAGGTATGAGACACGGCATGCGAGGGAGACATGGGGGATAAATCAGGAGGTGGAGCATTGAAAGATTATGAAGTGAGCTGGGAAGGCTCACAGACGAACATGGCCACACACTGAAGGACAGATACAACCATGCCATAACCATTCACGCCATGAACCATCATACATGGGATGGCAGTATGCATGAGCAAATGGCCCGGACGGGTCGGCCCCAACCCGACACGGGAATACACCCAGTTCAGGTCAAGTTTTGCAGAAGCCTGGCCCGGCCGGGCTGGGTCGGTCGGGTCGGGTCAGATCGGGATTCGACCCAATATTGGTTCAAAACAGGGGTACTCGGGACGCGGTATTGACCTGACCCGATTTCAAAGGCGACCCCCACCCAGACCCGATGTGCGCCCGTCCAGACGGCCAGGGGCGGGCGCGTGCAGTGGGGGCCTAGGGCAGGTTTACTGCACCCCACCCATCTCCCTCCCTCCCCCCCTCGCTCCCCGCCCTACACGTACGTGCCCCCCTGCCTCTCACAGGTAGACAAGCGAGACGAGTGCGCTGAAGGATGCAGGAATGAGCCCCTCCAGGCCGTTGCAGCACAGGTTGCTGCGCGCGTTGCGGCACAGCACACGGATAGTAAGAGATGGGGCAGGGAGGGGTGAGGGGGAACAGTGGAGTGGACAGAGGGAGGGAGGGATACGGCTGGTGAGGGGCCTGAAATGGGTTGCTAAAGAGCCCTCCTGGTCGTTGCAGCACGCAGAGAGGATAGCATGGTGCATGCAGGGAAGGGCACCACCTTTTGAGGAAAGGGGGGAATGGAAAAGGTTGGTTAGGATGGTCCGAGAAAGGGTCACGGCTTTGCTGCACAGGTAGCCCAAACAAAGCACTTTCAAGAATCACACGTTGCTTAAATTGCAGCATAGGTTGCAGATCAGCGGCACGCGGTTGAAAGAGGCATCAGCTGGGAGGGGGGTTGAGGAGAGGAAGAACAAGAGGGAGATAGGGAGAAGGATGGAACTGGAGCGAGGGGAAAGCAAATCAGCGGCAAGGAATGAGGCTGTGCAGGGGAGGGAAGAGGGGAGTGGGAGAGTTGGAAGGCGGGAGGGAGAGCGGGGGACTGGGGGAGTGGGGGTGAGCGGGGGAGAGTGGAAGGCGAGGAGAGGTGGAGGTAGGAGGAGGAGGGGGTGTGACCTTGGGCGTGGTTGATGCGAGTGGCGGCAGCAGGGCACGGCGACAGCAGAAGCAGCCCCGCCAGCAGCAGCAGCAGCGGCAGGCGGAGGTGCAGCAGCGGCGGAGGCAAGGAGAAGGAGAAGCTGCGCCGGTCTTGGTCGCCCATGACTCTCCAGACGGACGACAAACGGAAAGAAGGACGACAGGACGTGCCAAGCTGAGCAACGACCAGCGTGGTGGTGAGGGTGCAGGACTAGAGCAGGTGGCGGCGGCGATGGTGGAGTCACGCCGGCTGCGCTTGTGTCACTTCTCAGAATTGTCAAAGCTGCTGCCACGGTTGCTGCTCAGGCCGCCACTGGGAAAGGCTGAGCCTGCGGCGTTTCAAGCTTTTCACTCGCAGACGAGACTTGGTCGCAGTGCTAAACGCTTTGGCGGACAAGACTTCAAAATCAACTACGACTTGGCAGTGGAATCGCCTCGACGGCACATATTAATATCCTTGCAGAACATTCAGCTGATTTATGTCGCCGCTTCGCCGACTCTTGCGCTTTGTTCGCAAAGGACTCGCGCGGGCGTTGCGGGGGGGGCAATAGATAAAGAACACACAGCGCGAACGGCAGGCTGAAACTCGAGTCCAGCCTCCACTGCAGTGGACGACGTTCTTGCCAACAAGACGAAGCCTCGCGTGCGATGCATGCGCGCGGAGCCGCAGCCGCCAGCGCGCCGGCTCCGCTCCGGCGGCGCGGTCAACGTGCGGACGATGGCGGGGCTCACTAGGCGACGCTTTTCCATCATGGGAAAAGACTGGGAGGATAGGTTACGGCAGACAAGCCGTGACGAGTGCCTGTTTCTCACACCCAATTGTGCGTGTGACGCGACGAGTACCGCCTTTTCGGCGAAGCTCGAAAACTGCGCGTGCCGCTTCGGCAACCCAGATGACTGCCATAGCCATGATGATGGCAGACTGAACATTGTGCAATTCAGTCGTCTCTGTTCACACGTATTCAACTCCAAGGAATTCTTCGGAATCCCTACCGCGTGCTTCAACATCGCGTACGCAGCAGCTTTTCTTCGCCCGTTACTGCTACATTTTTCCGGCGTGTTACATTTTGTACTCCAGCCCATCCACACGAGCCATCGTCCGGACGTTTTGGAGGTAACTTTTTCTGTCACGATTCGCTGGGTTGCTCATTACTCAATTGCTACGTCGTTAGCGATCGGACCGCTGATGCAACTTTTTGCTTGAAATGCCTTCTCAAATCGACCGGACGATCACCCTTCTATAGATGGACGGACGTAACAGTAACGCAATGTTATTGGTCGTCGAGAACGTCTCCCTGGGTCGCTTAGGTGTTACATGTGTCGTAGTGAGGTCGTGATCATGGTTACAACCTCGCAGGTTTTGATAACTCTCAAAAGATTGAAAATATTTCATAAACAGCATCAGACGAGGCTTAGTCCGGACGTTGGACTCGGACTTCATGATATTAGGAATCTGAACCGTTCTCGGGTCGTCCGGATTTTTACTACTTTTAGTTTATGCAACATGCCCTAACAGGGCTTGCCAACATTCACGTGTACTACTGATCAAACCATGCGCTGCTGGCCCTTTCGTATCGGCCTACGCTTCGGGACTAGCCCGAACCTCGGTGCAATTTAGCTAGCTCGCACTGTTACGGAGTAGCTTACTGTTCAAGGGTGTTTTACCCTAAACAGTGCCCCCAACCACATCCAAACTTATCTTCATCCAATCCCTTTGGGATTTCCTTGGATTTCCTAGATTTCCCAACCGCCAGGTGGCACTCTATTCTTCTTGCTTTACAATTCCTTGTCCCACGAACTACTTTCCAACTTCCACTCTTGCATGCCATATAAACCTCTCTTGTACTTGCCATTATCAACCAATTCTCATTCAACTCTTCTTCAATTACTCAGTAACTTCTTCGCCTATTTCGCCAATAGTTCTTTCGCCTACGTCATCCGCCGCGTTTCATCCTCGACTTAGTCGACCCCGCTAATTCTTTAGCGGACTTAGGCCGTCGGGCCTAACAGCACGCAGCACGCTACCATTTGTATGTTTAGCGTAGAAGTATTTGCTCATGCCTTCGCTCATACTTTGTACTCATTTGACACCCTGGTGCAATTCTCGCTATTACGAAACATTGCACCCTAGTGCAATCAAGAAATGCATTCTCTTCCAAGGCATGCATTTTTCGGAGGCTTATTCAAAGCCTGAAACAAGAATGGCACAATTCAATTTCAAGTTTATTTAACTTGACTTAGTCAACAAAACTTGTCAGAATATGATATTGTGTAGCCTATAGTGGGGTATGCTGGAGTGAGTACAACCCAGTTAGGGTTTCCCACTTGTATCCCACCTGCCTGCTAGTCAAACCCCTCTTTTTTGTCTATTTTCTCTTGCCTAGCTAGCTAAACCCTAGCTATGGTTCCTGTGTTCTAGCTACTATTTCTGACAAAACTCGCTCTTATACTCTTAGGCATAGAACAAACCATACGGGTAGATAACGTGTTCACTCTTGGATCCAACTATTCGAATTAGTAACGTATTTATATACCAACCACATGTGACGCACTTACTCCTTGTACCATTCATATCGGCTAGTTATTTGCTTAAATCCATGGCGGGAATGGCAGTGCGACTGGGAGGAAAGGGCCCTACTAGGCTCGCATTGAAAGGCTTCGCTGCGGCCCCTGAGGAGTGGAGGGAGCGCCTGCTGGCCCCCGCACCAAGCTCGGCTGGCTCACGCTTGGGGGACGGAAAGAACCTCCCGCAGCTGCCTATTCTAGGCAACGGAGAGGTCATTCCGCTCAAAGAGATGAAGGGTGACTGTAAAGGGAAATGCTGAGTTCGGCTGGCTGATGAAAGGGATCGATCAACGGAAAGCTGGTCAAGGGCGTCAAAGAATCTTTGGCTCAACCCAGCCGACCCAGAGACGTCCTCACAAGGGTTTACAATTTTAACCTTCAAGTGGAGGAGAGGTTGGCTTTTTTAAGTCACAAGCTGTCCACACTACGGCAAGGACGAGACACTCGAGCATTGCCTCTTTGACTACCCAAAAATCCAAAGGGTGTTGTTGGCACTAAAAAGGGCTCTCTTACTAATCAACCCGTCCCGCGAAGCAAACTCCCTGGGGAACCTGCTCTTCAGCAAGGCTGGTTCGAGTACCGCTTTCTCGAATGCAACACTGATAGCAATCACGCTGCATCGGGTCTGGTTGGAACAGTGCGAAGCTGTCTTCCGAGGGGGAAAATTTCGAGCGCGCCGAGTGCTGAGAAGGGTAATTGTCGCCTTCTGGCAGCACGCGAGGGTATATATGAAGGCTCGCATGACCACGTGGCAGGAAAGAAGGAAAACGGCGTAGAGTGATCGGTTCCACAAGAGCTTGATGGAGGAACAAAAACTGCTGAGTCGGATCTACACGGCTGATGATAAGAACTGGAAGTGGACCAGAACCTTTAAATCCGTCTGGACCAAAAAAAAAAAAAAAAAAACACACACACACACGCGCGCGCGCAAACACGCAAACACACACACACAGACACACACACACACACACACACACACACACACATACGCACGCACGTACGCACACACACACACATACACACACACACACACACGCATACACAGAGAGAGAGAAAAATGTATTAATGCTTAAGTAGTGCACTAAGTCTTAGTGTAAGAAGAATGTCTTTTCCTTGTCGGGGTTAACTACTACGTGTACAGCCCCAGCACTTTCAAAATTTGAACGTTTGGCCGACATCTACGACTACGAGGCTGTCTCACAATGCCTCCGGTTTTCCCTTCGTTAAAGCTGCACTCAAACTCGTTTTCCTAAGGTTTTCTCCAAGCTAGGATAGTTACTATATTATAGTGTG